AAACTACATCCACTTTAGCTAATTCAGAGGCCTCATTCCAAGTTATGTGAGCTCCGTGTTTGATTCTCTGGGCTTCAGTACTGGAAGCAGTCCAGGGTAATTCTGGGAACTGGGAGCTTAAACAAAACCAAACTACAGCGTAACATGCTGCCAAGGAGGATTCTTAGATTTGGGTATATTGTGTAGACATGCTTCTATTCTTTTTTGAAGGAAAAATATTTATTGATGTATGTAATAATGTAGTTTTTTAAAAATATACGGGTAGCGCACTATTGTATACGAAGCGACATGCCAAGCTTGCAGTTTTGCAGTATTCATGTGCTGCCACCTTCTGGATAAACGATGAACTGACTTTCAGATTAAGATCCAGAAAACTACGCATTTAGAATGCCTCACAATAGAATGCCTTTTTTTATTGTCACTATAAACGTATATTGAGACTAAGAGCAGCTTCTTCAGTCCAAACATGTATGTATTATAACAAACAGCAAAGAAATAGTGCAAAAAATTCTGCAGCGCTACATACATATGGAAGAATAAATAGCTAAATAGGGTTTTTTTTTTTTTTAAATATATGAATATTCAGTGTGGGTTATTGCACATTATTTAGGTATAACACAGTAATGATGATCATGTGCAGTGAGTAGTGGATGTACATTGGAGCAGTGAGTAGTGGTTTACCTTTAACCCCATGTGACACTAGGCTTTTCTCCCAGGGGTGTAAGGTTAGAGAGACCTACCAGAAAGAAAACTACCAGTATTTTTTTTTTCATATTTACTATTGTATTTACATTTATATACTTACTTATTTACATTTTACTTATTTATCAGACGCTTTTATTCAAACAACATACAAATAAGGAAGCAAATTGATACGATGCTGGGCGTCACCCCGGTACCCGAAGTGCTTGGAAAGATTAAAAACTGAAAAACATTGGATCAAAGATCGAATCCAAGAGCATCAATTATTAATAATAATACTTAAGAATATCGGTGCTCAGCATCAGCATGTATGGGCCCTCAGGACCTATGATGATGAGCACAAAACCACCCACGCAAATTCCCAAGCTGCACAATATTGTGTTTTGAGTCAAACCTCAATGAGTCTTTAGGTAGCAATACCCAGGAACTCTGGCACTACATGCAATTCCCACAGCGCACCACTAGATGGCGGCTTCGTGCCGTGAGCTGAAACAGCCGCCGGAGGGCTGATGCGCGGCAAGTTTCCCCAGCCGCCAACCAGCGTGTATCAGGGCTGCGTCTGGGTCAGGCTTTTGCCTGCTGATTTCCTCCAGCTTATTATCTTGTGTAACTTGGTGCTGGGCTCCTCGCCATATAAACCAAATCAGCCTCGAAAACATTAAAAAACCTGGATGCTATAAAAGGATCGTTCGCCCATAGTCCCATATTCGGTTAGGGTTTTCACTATCCTTTTATGTTGCTGCAAACGTAATCGTATGATTACATTATATCGCGACGTCCCTTGTCCCCCCCCAAGTTTTGTTGAAGCTGCATGAAGGTATGACTCACTTTTGTAACGTTTAAAATGTGTTGATCATTTTTTCCACTGCAAAAAAGAAGCATTTGCATTTATTTTGGAGCAATTTACATTTGAGAAAGCGGGGAGCTGAGCAGCAAACTTAGGGCAGTGTGACTATGCAGGTATGGACTCAAATACCCGCGGTCAGCAGAATGTTGTCACCATTGGGCCCTGGGGCAAGACCCTTAACCCCCCAATTGCCCCAGAGACTGTCTGACCTGCTTTCTCAATCGTATGTCACTTTGGATAAAAGCATCAGTTAAAAAAAGTGTGATTGCTAAAGTTTATCTGTTAATGAAGTGGTTGCTCATCATATTCTGGGTTCAGGTATGACCCAGACTGAGGCCACGCCTCCCCTCACTAAACAGGACCATGAAATATGATGGCAGCCCTGATCCCAGAGAGAGGGGCTCAGAATGTATGTCAGTTCCTTGCCACTCCAACAAGATGTGGGTTTTTAGGGTGACAATGGTAATTCCCAGCTCCCCTGGTCAGTCCCTGGAACACCGCCATGGGAATCGCTCATCTACGTCCTGTTCATGTTTCTGCACCCTCCCAGAATGCCTTGCTCGCTGGACTCTCTGTCATAAAGATGGCTTTTGTTCCCAGCTCGCAAGCACTGGGGGTCCCGTGAAGAGAGGAGGCAGGCGATACACTAACAGAGGTTCAGGCTTCTACACACACAGCCCCCCAAAGCCAAAATGGACTCAGGCAGAACGTTCTGTTCCCCTGGTAACCCTGTGCCTTGACAGATCAAGATAAGACCTTCTGTGGGGCCTCTGAGTCCACAACTATATTAGTGATGTAGAATCGATGTCTGGTGATCTCATTATATTTGTTTATATATATATATATATATTATATATAATCTAGCAAATGCTTTTATCCACAGTGACGTACACTTCAGAAAGCAAGATCAGCTGGTGCCTGGAGCAGCTGGGGGTTAAGGGCCTTGCCCAAGGGTCCAACAGTGAAATCAGTTTTCTGACCAAGGGATTTGAACCAGCAACCTTCCGACTCTGGGATTTGAACCATCAAACCTCTGACAATGGGAACCCTTTGATCACCTGCACTCTCCCTGAATAAGTTATTGATTGTCAGTCTTGTAGAAAAAAATGTGTAAATATGTGTTTGGTGGCAGATCAGCTGTCTAATGATAGACGATATTATGAGTTCATGTCAGCCTGCATAGACAGAGTAATCAGAAGCCCAAGGTGCAGACCGGAGGAGGGTATAGTTTGTGATTCCCTTGCAGGAATATGGCCGTCATAAATCACAGAGTTATAGCTCTGAAAAGGGAGTTTCTCAGGAGCACTTTTCAGGGAGGAAAAGTCAAAGTCAGCTTTATTGTCAATTTCTTCACATGTACTAGACATACAAAGAAATCGAAATTACGTTCCTCACTGTCCCACGCGCAGACAAGACATGACCGGATAGGACAAACAGTAAAGTGCAAAGGCACAACAAAAAACACATTCTAACTACAGAGTAACAGTATATAAAGTGCAGGTAGCTTAAGGCATATACTAGAGTGTAATAATAAGTGTTTCCAGTATT